AGGGAGGGAGGGAGGGAGGGAGGGAGGAGAAACAAGACAGAGACTCACAGGCTGAGACAACGGCCCCCCATGTCTGCGCATGCCCTGGGCCTAGGCCAGCCCCGTGATCCGTGCTGTGGCCCAGCAGGTCTCTGCTGATGCCCAGGGCTCAGCCATTGCCTGGCTTTGCTGCCTGGCATGGGTCAGTGACGCTGCTTTCAGCCTGCTGCTCTTGAGGAGCACTGTGCACCCCTGGGGGGGACAGATGGGGGTGGGGGATGGTCCCCCACAGACAACATCTCATCCCTGTGTGCCTGCAGGCGAGGGGCTCAGAGTCCAAGGTCCCAGGGGTCCCCTTGCTCCATCTCCTAGGACTGCACCCAAGTGTCCAGACTGGGGGCATGGGCCAGTGGGGATGACCCAGACGACTGGATGTGACCCCCGCCCCACCCAGCCCTGGAAGGCCTGCATTCAGGGTACAACAGAGGAATCAAAGTATATTGCACCTCCACGGCCTAGCGCAGAGGGGGTAGTGCCTCGGAGTGCGGGCAGCAGGCGGGACACAGGGGAAGAGTTTCCTCTCCCTCCAGCCAGCTGGGCGGGAAATGCCAGGCAGGGCAAAATGAGGGAGAAAAGGAGAGAAGGGGACAGAGAGAGGGAGGGAGACATCTGGGTCCGCTGAGCGCCCAGAGAGCTTCGGCTTGTGCCACTGACTAGAAAGCCCCACTTCCCAGGATGCTCTGTTCCTGCCTGCTTTCCCCATGTCACAGAGTCCCCCAGGGGACACGGAGGAGAGTCACTTGGAGCTCAGAGCTCCAGCCGGGGTGTAAGAGCTGCCAGGCTGGAAGGCGCTTCTGGCAGCAAGTGGGGAAAAGAACGGGTGAGCCACTGACGGGACAGCCAGCCGCCACACGCCAGGTGGCAGAGCCACCACCAGAGCCCAGCCTGCTTACCCGGCCACCCTTCTCTCCATTGGCGCCAGGGAATCCCGGGAATCCAACGGAGCCCTGAAAGAGAAGGAGTGGGCGTGAGCGCCGGCCCCACGAGTAGGCACGCTGCTGCCGCCTCCCCCACACCCCCCTCACTTACCCACCTGCCCGCCTGGGTGCAGCCATCCACCCCGCCACCTACCCGGCGCCACATCCACACATTTACCCACCTGCTCACCATCTACACACTTGTCCACCCACCCACCCAACTTTCCATCTATACCTGTGTTATAGCCATCCACCCCACCACTCACCCATTCACTCACGTACCCATGTACCACTCGTCGCCCATCCACCCACCCACGCACCCACCTATCCACCAACCCACGTACTTGCCACCAATCCACCCTCCCAATCACCAGCCCACTCATCTACTCACCTATCCATCCATCCACCCACTCATTCAACACCCTTCCGCTTATCAACTCAATAACTAATTCCTGGGCGTTTAGACTCCAATTCTAAAAGCCCTAACGCGCTCCTCCCAACCCACTCTACACGCTCCCCACACACCCAGGCTGTAATGCACTGCTGGTATCTGGTGGGGAAAGGGACCCGCTGTGCTCAGGTGGCCTGGGGACTCGGCACCTCAGATGTCCGTTGCCAGGCCCACAGCCAGGTGTGTGATCTTCCCCCAGCGTCTCTAACTAAAGAGCGGCAGCTCGCAGAGTCGGAAAGAGACGCCAAGCTACGCACAGGCTGAGGGACCTAAAAGCCGCTCAACCCCAAGAGTCTTCAGGACAGTCTGGCAACAGGGGACCTAAGGACTCGGCTGGCGGACATCCAGACTCCTGCTGCGAGCACGAAGCAAGGGGACAGCGAGCCTCGGCCAGCCAGGGCTGCTGCTCACTCCTCTAGGCGGCTCCACCCTCTGGCAGCGGGCTTGTCCCAGGAAGAGGCTGCAGCGCGCAGGCGTCCCAGGGAGCCGACTGGCCTGCGCGCTCCCAGGCCCACCTGCCCCCTCCAGGTTGGAGCCTGGGCCAAAGAAACCCAGTGCCAAGGGCGCAAAGCTCTGCCCGGAAACGCGACAGCATATGGGACAGCCAAGGGCCGCTCTGACCACTGAGGACACACGGGCAGTTGCAAAGTTCCACTTTCCCCTTCCAAAAGCCACCTGAATGTGAGCCCTATCCCATCCTTTCTTCTTTTCTCTCCTCTCCAAAGCGATTAGTATTTAAAAAGGGAAAATGTGCCCCATTCATGCAACACTGGGGTGGAGGACGCCCCCAGGGGTGGCATCACGGCCACTTCCAAGGCCCTGTACCAGGCCCGAGCCTGCCTCTGCTCCCCAGCCAGCCCCGCTCCTGCAGGCTGGAGCATCCACACAGGGGAAGGACATGCTAGGGAGGGAAGGGGGCGCTTCCCACACACTCCCTCGGTCAGCAGCGCAGCGCAGGGCGGGGCAGGGCAGGGCTCCAGCCCTAGAAGGCAGCAGAAGGGAGGAGCGCCACCTGACGTGGGCAGGGCTGCTCTGAAGCTAACTAGGTCTCCAGTGCCGACAACCGGTTATTGTTTAAGGAAGACCCATGAATAATAAAATGTGAGGTTTGAAAAAAAAGAATGTTTTCAGCGATCCCCAAAGCCTTCAGGAGCTGTTTCATTTAAACCTCGACATGATTGCAGGCAAGAAAAGCTTCAGCTCTTTGTTCAGCTCTGTCTCGAGCAAATACCCAGCCCGTCTCTGGAGTGCGGCAGGGCCGAGATGGCTCCCGGAGCACTGGGTGCAGCCAAACTTGGGGCAGAGCCACTGCAGGCCCCCGGCCCAGGCTGCCCGCTCCGGGCGCAGCGTTGGTCCACCTTTGAAGCCTCCCCTCACTACCAAATGTACTGCCAGACTCGGCCAAATAAACATAAAAGCCACGCTGGAGACTAGAAGTCAGAGCGACCGCGTCTCTCTGTGCCACAGAAGTCACCCAAGGACAGACTGGAAGCGACTGCGCCGGGGTGGGGAGTCACGGTGCGTGCCAGCACCCACCATGGCTTACGTTACCTTCGGCCCTTGTCTTCCTGGGTACCCGGGCAAGCCTGGGACTCCGAGTTTGCCCTTGAGAAAGGAGAAGAGACTGTGTCACAGCGCAAGGGTGGCGTTTCTCCAAAATCCCTGGAGGGAGGCTACAGGGTAGTCACCACCCCAAGGCCTGCCTGTCTCTCCAGGACAGAGGCTCTAAGCCCTCCCAAGCCAGACGCCTGGTGCTCCCTGCTCTGATGGAGATTCAAAGGCCCTGTGAGAAGGGACAGCACTGCAGGTCTTGACAGCCCCATCAGTGTGCGCTGTCCCCAGCCTCTCCGAGGAGTCCTGGCCGTAGGGGCCCATGAGGCAGCAAGCTTAGGCCACTTCCTGAGTCCACTAGACAGGGCTGGGGGCCGGGAGCTGGACTGGCCTGGGGTGCAGAGTGGTGTCTCCCCACAGTGGGCAGAACAGGCCAGGCCGGAGAGACCACCTGCAGAGGGCCCCCCTCCCCAGACCATGCTGTCTGGCTGGGATGGGGACTGTACCACCTTCGATGTCAAGTAAGGACAGTCAAGGACAGAGGAGCCCATGTGTGGCTGCTGCAGCTTGGGGACCCAAGCCTTGGGGACACCTTGGGGAAAGTGCTGTCCTGCATGGGAGAGAGCTCAGGAGGCAAAACTCTGAGCAGTGAAGCCCGTGGCCCAGAGGAAACAGGTCCACACCCGGGCCAGCCCCACCAGCAGCCAGGGAGCCTGAGGCCCCAGGAAAGGCCGCTCGAGGTCTTAGATGGTGGCTGGGAATCTGCTGTCACCAACCTTCTCCCCAGGGGGGCCCAGGGGACCCGGATCTCCGTTGGGACCGCCACGGCCCTTCGGGCCTTCAGGGCCATCTTCACCTCTGGGGCCAGGAGGGCCAATCTCCCCCTGTAACGAGAGAAGAGGAGCTGAGGGGAGCCCCACAGGCTCCGCTGACAACACTCCACTGCCAGGGGCGACAGGCTCCACACCCTGATGCCACAGGGCCGTGTGGGCTCCGGAGCCAAGTGGCAGCACCAGGGCCTCTCGTGGGAGCCCCCAGCTCACAGGGAACTGATGGGCGCCACGCTGTCCCTCTGCAGTGACTGAGAACACTGTCCCCAGGCTGCTGGCTCCTCCTCCCAATGACCTTCCTAGTCCAGGGCCTGGGCCAAAGCAACCCTGTGCAGCGGGCACGGCCCTGCGTTGCCCCCTCTCTGAACACGCAGGACGGATAGGGAAGCTCAAGATGGACCACAGTTACCTGGGTACCACTGGCACCCAAGAGACCCGAGAATGCATGCCAGAGAAGGCAGCTTAAATGCCACCTCATCCAGTGTCCCCAAGCTGCAGGTGCCCCCACCCCAACCAGAAGGGTCCCGGGGGCTGCGGGGTCAGAGGCTGCACCGTGGTGGGCTTGGGCCTGTGGCCTGCCGTGAGGCCCCTGTGGCCACCAGTTCTCAGAGCAGCTATAGAACAGCTGGGGGGCGCCTTAAGAAGGTACAGCGCACGGCCAGTGACTCCCAAGCCTCTGGCCCTGTGGGGGAGCGCTTCCCATCCCCAGGAAGGGCATCAGGCTCTGCCCCAGGGCTGGGGGCCCGACCCTGCTCTGCCGTGTCCTTGCCCAGGCACCGGGACAGGAGTGTCCCTCATGTGAACTCCCCAGGCTGCACCTGGCCACACGAGCCCTAATGTGTGTATTGAGCTGCATAATGGGAAGGGAGGCAAGGGGCGTCCACCATGGAGCCGCTGAGGCCCAGGGAGGGAGGGAGGGAGGGAGGGTGCGGCTGCCTGCAGCCGCCAGCCAGAACCAGAGACAGCCTCCACTGGCCTCCTCTGACAGACATGAAGAGCAGAAGAGGTGTCTCCTGCCCGCTTTGGAGATGGAAATCTCAGCAGCGGCTGGACGGCGGGCCTGCCTCGGCAGACAGGTGTCATCCAGGTGTGTACACAGCTACCGGCTGGCTGTGCCACCTGGGGAGGGGAGGCAGCACCTGCCTCTGCCCCGTTCCTGAGCTGGGAAACTTCATCACTGTCTCTCCTGTTTCCAGGACAATGCAGCCGTCCACAGGTCTCTAATGGGGACAGCTCTGTGAGCGGCCACGCACTCTGGTGTTGAGGTTTGCTATTCACCAGGAGACAGCCTCCTGCTGAGCTTCTCCCTAGAGGCAACTGGAGTGCGAAGTGGAGACCAGGGCGATGCAGGGCTCAGGCAGACCTGGTGTGCCCAGGCAGGGGCCCTAGGACCTGCTAGGGAAGTGTGGCCCTGGATGTCACAGACCTGTCATTCCCAGCAGCCTTCCTGGTCGTGAGGGTCAAGTGAAGCACTCTATACCCAGTCCCAGCCAGAAAATAATGAGTCCCCGCTGACCCACGTGTGACAGACCACGGCTGGCCTTGTACCCCTGCCCGCCCTGCCCACACCAGGATTCCTGCAGAGGTAGGGCCTCCCTTCTGAGAGGTGGCTCTGTGCTCCAACAGCCTGGCCCCACTGGTGGCACCCGAGCCACCTGCCTGTCCCAGCCCAAGCCCAAGCCCGGAGTACTCACCCGATCGCCCTTGATGCCCATGTCGCCTTTGAACCCAGGGAAGCCATCTTCACCCTGAATGGGGAAAGCTTGCCTGGGTCCACAGAACAGAACCTGCATCGCCCCCATGCGGACCTGCACCCGTACCAGACGGACAGGCGGGCTGGCGCCCCACCCCTTGTGACACCTGACCCCAGCTCAGTGGCCTGGGTGGCTTCTGGGCCTGGTCCGAATGGGACCCCCACACTCGGTCACGCAAGGCCCACACAGCAGAAAGGGACAGATCTCACCTTCTCGCCCTTGGTGCCCTTCAGCCCGCGGATACCGTCCGCCCCCTGTGCAGGCAGGAAGAGAAGGTGGAGGTCACCGAGGCGCGCCTAGCTGGGCCAGGGGAGGGCACGGGGCTCTGGGGCAGAGGCAGTGCAGCCTGGGCAGCCGCCTGCCCTGGGACGGGTTTCCAGTCAGGACGACCAGGTCTCCTGTCCCCAGGCCCAGCTCGGTGCAAATGCCCCAGCTCATGCCTGGCCCCGGCCCTCAGCTCCAGACCCGCTGTTAGAGGCCAGTGCTGCCTCCCACACTGCGTCCCACCCGGCCCTCCCTCAGGGCTCTGCGAATGGACAAGGACCCGGGCTGGGAGGTTTGTTCATCTGGAAAGCAGGCTGGTGAGGCTTTAACCTCCTTCCCATGCCGGGAGGGAAAGACCCTCGGAGCCAGCTGCATAGCGTCAGCACAAGCCGGCACTGAAGCACGCTGCGCCAGCGCATTGTTGTGTCATCGTGGACAGCGAGTCCTAACGCCGATTAGTGACATAAACAGTATCTTGGACAGCTACCTCTCCTCCCTGGGAAGCGTGACATTAGGGCAGGGCCTGCCAATGCTCTGCAACACCATGCCAGGCCCAGAACCTGGGCCAGCACAGGTGACTCCCTGGAACACAGCCGGCTGACAAGCTAGGGCTGCTGCTGCCTGCCCGGCGTGGCACGGGGGCTGCCTGCTGCCCTCTGGTGGCCGGAACACAGCACAGCCAGTGCTGTGGTTCTGAGCAGCTTCCCTAGGGCTGGGGCACAGGGGCCTCTCGGCTTGGGGCGTGGTGTGGCCTTCCTGGCTCACAATGTCTGGAGCGGCAGCTGCTGTAACTCTGGAAGCACAAGGCTCCATCGTAGGCTGGGGGCCCAGTGTGGAACCCAGACACCCCTCCGAAGGGCAAGGCAGGGAGAGCCCAAGGAAAGGGGAGCGGTCGGGGCACTGCCGGGTGACTCTGGCGCTGAGGCGAGCTGGGGGAGTGCTCAACAGGCTGATGCCCCAGGTCCAGCAGCAGAAGAAAAAGAGGTAGGGCCTGGGCCACAAGAGGGGAGCCTTGCAAAGGCACAGAGTCCCCCAGGAAGCCCAAGGGCCTGGGCCACCAGAGGGGAGCCTTGCAAAGG